CTCGGCTCGATTGACATCTCTAGATGGAGATCGATCCTCAACCTTGAATGTGAGAATTCAAGTGATTTCTATTTTAAATAAAAGTCTTCAAAACTCATATTCACTGAGTAAAAGCTTATAAAAAATTTAAAATGAAAGTCTATCAAAATTTCACTAATTTCATGCAAATTTATAAAAGTCCACATTCCACACAAGTCGTGACTTAAAATCCCAATTGAATACCAGATATTCGATAGAAAAATTGAATCCGATCCTCCTTGTTGTGGACACAATTTTTAATAAATAAATTTGTTTTTTACTCTAAACTGACGAGTTAGTTCGATATATCATACTCACCCGTGGACTGAGACGCCACCCACTTCAGCGCAAGCCAAGAATCTTCATAAGCAATCGGAACAGGGTGCTCGGGGGCTAATCGATAGCCGACAGAAACTGCGACAACATTGGCTTCTGCGACGAGTGGATTCAGGTGGTTTTGGTACGAAGAAGAGAAGGGCGATTCCGCCACAAAGCCACCGCCGTGAAAATAGACAAGAAGTGGAAGTTTCCTGCCGGGATCGGTGTTTCCCGGCAGGTAAAGCCTGGCAGATACATCATGTTCAGGTGAAATCACGACGTCTTTGGACCGAACCCCAGTTTCTGAATCTACGGATGCAGGAACAATATCTATTCCAACAAATCTTTCGGCTCTTCCATCTTTGTATACTCTGATCACTGGATGAAAATCGTGGAGAATTTCTGTTGAATTTGCAGCCATTGCTAAGGAAGGGAAAGAAGTTTTTGGACTTTTGGGCGCAAGAATTATTGGAGGAAATATCTATGCCTGTGATCAGCAAAATTTGGTCTTGAAGATGTGTCCGAAATAGACGGTTTTTTGTCTTCATTCTACTCTCCTAGGAGCATTTTCGGTAAACGCTAAACTCTTAAGACGGCTCATTTTTTTAGTCATTTTCAGCAAATTTTAAGAAAAAATGACCACCAAAAAATATTTGTGGATAGAGGGGAAGTCTAAAAAGACGGCTGACGATTTATAACGACCAAAAAATTCACTTTGATTTATGAAAAAGGCTTG